AGCGAGAGCGACTTTAAGACGCTCAGAAAATTAGTTGAATTATCACAGCTGTGACTCGACTCAGCGGGAAGCTGATTACAAGACGTCCTAATGGTTTTATGTCTGCTAGTGAAATAAACCCCACCCCCACCACACACACCCACACACACACACACACACACACACACACATATTCATGGACTCTACGTTTCTATAAATCACACAACGGTTTATAATCACTCTCTTCAAAAACAAACCCCACTGACAGACAAATTGGTTTCATTTTCGTGTCGCAGCGTGAGGTCAACGACGTCTTCACACTCGTTTTGGGGGAGGTGGGAGGTGGGAGGTGGGAGGGGGGAGGGGGGACAGAGGGAGGAGAAGCAGAAACAATTTCCATCATCAAAAAAAAACATGAAAAACCCCAATTAGAAATCGGAGACTTACTATGGCGGTCTGGTTCCGCAACCTCTCTCTGGCCTCTTCCTCGTCCTGCAGCTTCTTCCTGTTTCTCACACACAAACACACCGATCAGACGACACGTACACCTGGTTCATTTACTCACAGACACACACACAGTTTAAATCAGGTTTCACATCATCAGAAAATGACGAGGTCGCATTTCTCCAGAGAAACACTGAGAGGCTGAGAGACTGAGACCGAGGACGTGGATCACCAGAATCAGCTTTAGCAGAGGGCTGCGCTGCTGTGGGCGGGGCCAGAAGGAAGAACATTATTTTAAACACTTTTAAAAACAATCTAATATCTGTTTTAATGTGTGCTTCATCTTCCTGTCAAAACATCACTTTCCTTCGGCACTACTTTTTTCTCAACCGCTGAACCATTGTATCCCTACGCACAAGCGCAGGTCGGCTGAGCCAATCAGAAAGAGGCGAACTTCACGTTGTTTTAACGGGAAGACGAAGCGCTGAAGATATTCTACGTGAAACGTACATTTAAACGGATGTTGGATTGTTTTTAAAAGTGTCTACTTTAAGATGCTCCGGATTCATTTCAGCAGGTTTGTAAATTCGTCTCAGTCATAAGATGCTTTCTAACGAGGCCCTGGTTAATTTGAGTGAGAGGTTTTTGCTGGAGATAATTTTCTCCTGCTAATTTTGATATTTTACTAATTAAAACAAACTTGCAGCAGCTGCAGGACGCCGACATTTATCTGCTTTTTTACCGAATCAGTGGAAATAATTTTTTGAAATCTGATGCTACCATTTGAAAGTCAGTGTCACATCTGCCACGCCCTCCACCTCCAGCTCAGCACCCCCCCCCCGAGTGACCCTCTCCCCCCTCTCCCTGTGTGTGTGTGTGTGTGTGTGTGTGTGTGTTGTGATTGGCTGCAGGTGTGCCACAGTCGGAGCAGAGCCCCACCAGCTGCATCTCATCCTGTAATCACGACTTCTACAAATACCCGGATCGTGCGACCCCCCCTCCCCCCCTGCCTTCCCCCCTCCCCCACGTGCTTCCCACCCTGTGCTCCTCGATCTGCCGCTCCCTCTCGCGGTACCTCTTCTCCCGGTTCTCCTGCTCTTTCCTCTCCAGCTCCATCCGCTCCTCCTCGAAGCGCTGCCGCTCCTCCGCCGCCTTCCTCCTCTCCTCCTCCTTCCTCAGCTCCTCCTCGCGCTGCGGAGAGCAGACGACAGACAAATGAGACGACATTCACATCGCCATCACGTAAACCGCAGGAAAGTAAGAATTTTAAATCCACTATCTGTTAATCGGCTAATCGATGAATCTACATCTGATGCTGACGTAGATTCGGAGCCGCTCCAGCTGTGAAGGGCAAATCCAGCGGACACCCTGCAGCTGGATGAAGCGCACTGTCACTGTGTGTTTACTCTGAATGAAACACAGCTGGAGGACGCAACAGCATTTGACTTTGTCCCTCACTTTCACTCCAGTAACAAAAAACACACTGGGATTTACATGAACTGTAATTAGTTCCAGTGGAGAAGCAGGTGTTCGGATTGATACGAGTCTCAGCAGCTGGTTAGTTTAGCTTAGCATAAAGAGTGAAAACGGGGGGGGGGGGGCAGTCTGGCTCTGTCCGAGGGTAAAAACATCCACCTAGCAGCGCCAGTGAAAGCTCATTAATCAGCACGTGGCGTCTCTTTTGTTTAATCCGTATAAAAACAGTGTAAAAAGTGACAAACTTCTTTTTTTTTGATCAGTGATGCAGGATTAAACCGTTTTCCTCCTGCATCTTCTCCTTTTCTTTGCTTCACCCAACTTCTCCTCCACTCCCTCCCTCCCTCCCTCCTTTTCTTCTTTTGTTTTCCACATGTACCTTGGCCTGCTCCCAAAACTCCTCTCTATTGATTTTCTTCATCTCCACCTCTGCGTTGGTCTTCTGGTACACTGTGCCCTGCATCCGGAGAAACAAAATAGAGAGAGAGAGAGAAAGAAATAAAGGTTGTGTTTCTCCAGCCAGCGTGTAAATGACCTTTACAGGTGAGAGGTGTACTTCCTGTCATCTGTGAAAAGCTTGGTGTAAAACCTTCCTGCCTGAGGTTTAGAGTTCCTCACTGACTTGTAAACTCGCTGTGGCGTGTCCCTGCTGCAGCCAGTAAAGATCCACTGTGTTTCTATTGTGCAGACTCTAAATTAAGGAAACAGCAGCTCCGCCTCCTCACTGACCCGAGTCTCCGGGAGTTGTTTGTTTCTCCGGGCGGTTTCACTTCATTTTAAATTCTACTGAAGATCCTAGAGTATCAGAAGGAATCAGACATGTTCCCCTGGATTTTAACGGACTGTCTGGTTTCAAACAGCTGGAACAAGCCGACAGAATATTAAAAAATATATACTTTATATGTTTATTCTTAATTGAAATCAACAGAACTACAAAGAACCAACAATATGTTAGTCCGTCTCTCAGCAAGTTGTCACGTTCCTGCTCTGTCTGTGGCTCTCAGCTCCGACGCTACTGAAGAGCTTTAAAAACATGTCACAAATAAACTGTTTCATCTTTCAGAAGGGCTCCGAAATTTACTAAAACAGTAGAATCACTTCCTCGTGGTCGTATCCCTCCGCCACTCAGACTAGTTTCAGATTACATCCCTGTTTATCCAGAGTCAAATAAAATTTTAACCATTTGTGTGAAATTTTGTCATAATTACTGCGTGAAGTCATGAGTAAAGGCTAAAAAAAAAAATGTTTTCTGAGGTCACCGTGAACTTGACCTTTGACCTTTTAGCCACCGATATCTAACCAGTTCATCCTCAAGACCCAGTGGACATTTGTGCCAAATTTGAGGAAGTTCCCTCATGGCTTTACTGAGATATCGTGTTCACAAGACCAAAACAGCATTTGACCTTTGACCTTTGACCCCCCAAAATGTAATCAGTTCACCCTTGAGTCCTAGTGAATGTTTGTGCCAAATTTCAAGAAACACCGGCTGAGTACTGCAGTTTTAACAGGAGTAAATAGCAGATTTGTTGGGGACTATTTTCAGCAGTGGATTAATCCACATTTGGCTCTCTAGTATTTCTGGCAGCAGGAGTGTATGTGTGTGTGTGTGTGTGTGTGTGTGTGTGTGTGTGTGTGTGTGTGTGTGTGTGTGTGTGTGTGTGTGTGTGTGTGTGCATGTGTGCATGTGTCATCACACCACGTCTCCATGCTCTTCCTCTCGGGTTCTCAGGCGGCTCAGGACTGGACTCGCCACCGCCGCCGTCCCATTGGTCAGCCGCTGCCCGATGGCTGACGGGTCGATGTCTTCCAGACTGCTGGCGTTGACGATGACCTCCACTCCCTGGAGAGACGAGGCGGAAACCTGACGATCAATTCTGATTAATTACCTCTGATTCATTATCAATTTCAGTCAACACAAAACTCCTACTACATTTTATCCAATTTTATTTTCTAATCAATTTAATATGATCATTGATCTGATCACTGCACATATATAATAGATTGGTAGCATTCATGTGTGTGTGTGCTCTAACGGTCACTGAAACCCTGTCAGTGTGGTGAAGTCGAGGCTGTGTGGGAGAGAGAACTGCCACTTAGAATAATGACACTTCAACACACACACACACACACACACACACACACACACACACACAAACACACACACGTTACCTCTGCTTTAATCTCGATCTTTTTATCTACTCTACAAATCCAAAAATACACAGTCAGCCAGGTGTAGAGGACTGTACACACTGCTGTGTATGACACACACACACACACACACACACACACACACACACACACGCTTGGGTGAGAGGATCGTCATTCAGCTCAGAGCTCTCTGCACAGAGAGATTACTTTAAAAGTGCTGGTATTAGTCATGCTCTGTAACTGTAGCACACACGCGCACGCACGCACACACGCACACACACACACACACACACACACACACACACACACACACACACACACACACACACACACTCCTCTTTGATCCTCCTACAGGTTTAATGTGCTGGAGCTTCTTTTGAAAACAGACGAATATTCAAACGTGTTGATTGTGACAATTAAAGAATCTGAAGCCGACGAAGAAACAAACATCGTTCAGATCTGAATAAATAAACGAGTAAATAAATGTCGATCCCTACGAGTGATAATTTAAAGGGAAAATGTAAGAGTTCGGTCTGACCTGGAAGAAGTCTGCGATGGTGGCGACGTGACTGGCACACGCACACTTCCTGGCATCCGGCACGTCTTCCCCGACCTGAGAGGGAAAAGAGAGAGAGTTGTTGTTTAACAAAAAAAAAAAAACGAAACAGAAAGAGAACTAGAATCACCTCCTCACGGTCGTATCCCTCCGCCACTCAGACTGGTTTCAGGTTACATCCCTGTTTATCCAGAGTGGAAGTTTTGTCATAATTACTGTGTGAATCTCTTGAGTAATGGCCACTAAAATCTAATCAGTTCGTCCTTGAGTCCAAGTGAATGTTTGTGCAAAAATCTCAAGGCGTTACTGAGATATCGTGTCCATGAGAATGGGACGGACAGACAACCTGAAAACAATATGGCCTCCAGCTCTGGCTGTCGGAGGAATGAAAAGAAAGAAAGAAAGAACGAAAAAGGAGCGATGCTGGACCTGAATCTTTAATTAAAAATTGCCCTTTTTTTTTTTTCCCCCCCCCCCCCCCCCCCCCGCACACAAATGTTCAAATTCACGAGGACGGCTTCCCCTCGTCTCGGCCTCATTAGGATCTTTGTGTCGAGCCGTGGTCGTGAGACGGCCGTGCTGCGACAGGCTGGATGTGATTCAGTAATCACAGCTCATTCAGACCGACACAATGCAAACGCAGCGAGCAGCCATTACACACAGAAAGAAGCGGGAAAAAGGCCCCGTCTCATCTGAATTCAGAGCAATTTATCTCTCAATAACAGAATTTAACCACATTATCTGAGTGAGTGTGTGTGTGTGTGTGTGTGTGAGAGAGAGCTGGAGAAAGACAGATACAGTTTGAATGTTTTTGCATATATTTAAGAGGATGTGGTTCATCCAGGAAGTGTTTTGTGTATTTTTTTTTGTGTGTGTGTGTGTGTGCACTTTCTGGCACAGTCTGGCCTGGTTTGGCCCGGCCTGCCACGGCCTGGTGCTCCTTTGACTGTGAGTGTTGCAGTGTTACATTATGACGGACTCCCCTGGCTCCGCTCCCAGCCTCATTTAACCAGAGAAATGTCTCTTTCTGAGTCTCTGTAATTACCACGTCTCTCTGTCGCTCTTTTGTTCTTTTTCTTTTCATTCAAGTTTATATATACAGCTAATTTACATCGGCCGCCCGGTTACGTTCTTCATCAATACAAAGAGGAAGTATTTTAGCACTGAACATATCTGCTAAAATACATCAGCAGGACAATTAATCTGTAGTTTATTACAGATAAATCAGTATTGGTTTTGAAATATAGAAATTAAAGTAACTGAAAGCCAAAGACAGGTGCCTTTGTGGATCTGTGTGTAAGCCACGCCCCCTCGTTCCTCCTTCTGTACAACCTCAATACGTCTGACAGTGATGCCTTGTTTTCCTTTCCTTTCACAGCAGAAGCTACAGCCTGTTGACAAATTGGTGTGTCACTCAATAAAGACTTCAGTACAGTGTAATAGAGGTTCACAGCCCATAAAACAAGAATAAAGCCTTGAATTTTTCCTTATTTTATAGATAAAAACACAGAAAACCATAATAAAGAAAGAAAATTTTGCACACTTGTGTTTGAGTTATTCTAGAGGTAATATTGAAGTTTCTATCTTTATTCTGCTCCTTCTCTGGAGCAGTATTTAAGGACATTTTTTGTCTGCTCCATGAAAAAAAATCAAACTAAAAATCTGACTGGTCTCATTTTCTGTCACTTCAATAAACCCAGAACAACTTCTCCTCACTCTGAGCTCAGAGTAAAACAGCACTGCTCCCATTTAGTCTGGGTTTATAACAACTGACAGCCAAGCCTCTGAATCAGACGCTCTGATTGGCCGTGACAGTTCCCACTGGAGAGAATAGGAATATGGAAATATGAAATAGGAAAACATGTCTGTGAATATTTCACTAAACGTATTTAACGTATTTGCAACTTACCACATATGTAAATTAACAACATCCTCTTTAAATTTATAGAGAATATTCTCAGTCACCTACAAAACATATTTGCTGTGGTAAATTACTTGTATATAAATGTAATTTCTAGGAGACCGGGTTGAAAAAATTGCACTTGTGTCACAGGGAAACACTTGAACCACTGAACATAATCCAGGCGGTAGTTTCCATCAAAACGTAAACGGTAAAACGAATTAGTAAGAGTATAAAGTATATTTACACTTTAAACACTCTCCCTCTCTGTCATTATGCTCTTGCTGTAAGTGCCTCTGCAGACGTCAGGATCAGGAAGTAAAACATGCATCTCTCAGGTGGACTCAGCCCCTGTTTTAAATGCTCTTCAAACATTAAGTCGGAGACTCTCGCTGCGAATAAATGAGCTCAAACATCACAAATTATTAATCTCTTCCTCTTACGTTTCCTTTTCCACCGGGAATTTAATTCATTCTGTTTCTCGTGCGTTGACTCGACTTCTCTTGTTTGTCCTGTGAGTGGAAGGTCACAAGTTCAATTTCTGTGAGGCGTTCACATCCTGCTCTCTTTAAAAAAAAACAAAACACCACATCTGTATCCTCTGACTTTCTCAGAAAACACCTGACAACGCCAATCGATCAGCGATTCGTTAAAAAGGATCAACGCTGGGTTCAGCCATAATACAAGAGGTTATAACACGTCCTCTGAGCAGCGCTACGTCTTCAGTGAGTCGGCAATACAGAGTGGAAAGTGCCGCGGCTAGCTGGTTAGCATGCTAACTTCAATAGAAGAAGAGCAGACGTGACAGAGACAAGAGTCAACATTGGCGTTGCTTTCTTGGCGAGTAAAGGAATAAAGTTTTGATGCTGAACTCGCAACGTTTCTTCTAGACTGGTAAGTAAACTGATGCTAATGCTAACGTTAGCTATGTAGCGATAGCAAAAACTTACATGTAGCTATAAGCGTACGCTAGCAGCGATTTCTTCACTGTCCTGCCGACACTTGAAGGAAGCAGTTGAAACTCTTCTGCTTCTCGTGTAAATAATAATGATCACTCCTATTATTATTCTATAAAGGTTCCTCACATAAGCTTGAGAGCGAGTTCTTCTAGGAACCTTTTCTAGAGGTTCCTCCGCAGTTTGAAGAACCTCCAAAAGTTCCTCCAGGATCTTTTTTTATCTTAACAGTGTAACAGAAGTTTAAAAAAAAATATCAGTTTTACAAATTTATGCAAATTTATCGATAATCAACAGTTGATCTACTTTTGTTTCTAGTGCTTTGCTCTTGATTTAACGTGTCCACAGAGTCACAGATGACGTCATCATATCCTGCGCACCATGAACCACAGGGACGGGACATAAAAATCTGCTGAAGCTGAGAAAACTCATTGAAGTAAGGAAACCAGCTGCAGCGTCTGTGCGTTGACTCAGCATCAGAGCAGCGAGATGTGTTGACTCAGTTCAGTGAGTTATACTGTTGGCTTTAACAAACTTAAGATGAACAGTTCTGTCCACTACTTTTATATAATGTTTTAAAGTGAACATGTTTTATTTCAAGTTGTATTTTTGTATTTTTTTTTTTACTGTTGCAGCAGTTTCAGGTTTGATTCCTCCATGAACTGACATTAAAAAACATCATTATACAGAAAATATCAAAATCAAATAAAATTGGAAGATTGTGTTTTTTTTTAAATGTCCCGTGTTTTGTTTTTAATATCAAAATCACGGAATAACCTACAACGCATTTTAAATATTGATTCTTTGATAACATATTGGGACAGTTTAGAAATAATGCTTTTAAATCTTAATGTTTTTGAATGTTACTGTTTTTATTAGGAATTAATTTTTGTATTTCTGATTGTTTGGTTTGTTTTCTTTCTGCTTTTGTAATGGCATCATTGAAAATAAAGGTCACCCCTTAATGTATCCCTGAGAAAATAAATAAAGGTTGATGCTGAAATCAAATGTTCCCGTATCGGAGGTGTGTCAATCACCTGACACTAGGAGAAAGGAGAAAACCTCCCACAGGAAATAACCTTACAAAATCAAACTGTCACTCTTCGTCTTTTTGTTTTGCCAGGAAGACAGCTGCTGTAAATTTAAGTTTGACATCAACTTTATTTACACAGCTTAAAAATCACAAACAGACAAACAAACAGAAGCGCTGTTGTACTCATCATTGCCTGCAGGTGGCACTAATGTCAGCATCGCAGCAGCAGCAGTAACTTCCTCTGCCTGTAGAGGGCAGCACGTCTACACCTGCAGCTCTAAACTGCTGCTGCTGTTACGTCTCATCCCTGCAGCAGGTGTGAAGCTGCTGAGGCTGCAGCTCTGTGATTGGACGATGGAGAGTTAACCTGGTTTCAGGTCCCTGATGCGTCCTCGTTAAATAAACTGCTGCATTAAAAATGTTCTCTGACCCTTAATGACTCTGATATTCTCCTTTCATACCCTACAGGACATTTCAGTGTGTGTGTGTGTGTGTGTGTGTGTGTTGCCGGGGGTGTGTGCATTGCATCATATCCTGCCCCTCCCCTCCAGTTCCAGTCCCTCCACCCTCCCGACCCGGCGACTCACCCAGTTGATGAGGATGTATCGTGGCAGCGCGGCGGTGGGATCCTTGAGGCTGCAGAAGCCGTACATCACCCGGGCGCTGTCAAAGGTCAGCGTGATCTCTGCCAGACCGCCCCCTGCATCACAGAACAACACACTTTATTATTCCTGCAGCACAGGACCAGTCACGTCTGCCGGACTGTCCTCTGTCAGGGACGAGCTGGGCCTCTGAGCCACCGAGGAAAACTGGTCAGAGAATAACAAACTCATTTCATCTCTCCATCACATACGAAGACTGTGTGATGCAGCTGAAAGCTCTAGAAAAAGATCCTGTGTGGACCTTGATTTGAGATCGTCTTGTCAAACATTTTACACTTCCTGTGTTTTATTTTGAAGTGTTGATCCATAAGAAGATATATTTGTGGTTTTAAGAACCAAAAACCATCTCAGTATAGTTTTACATCTCCTCTCTCAGGCTTCTCTCTGGAGCTCTAGTAACAACAGGTCGGTGAGCCAATCAGAAGAGAGGAGGCTCTCAGCCTCTCTTCTGATTGGCTGACTGTTTTCTGACTGATCCAATAAAAATAAAGCAGATTTCAGGTAAAAACACTTAGAGAAACCAAATCCTGTAAAGGTTTGGATGGTGGGTCCAGGTGGGCGGGGCTTGGTGACTGCTTTGTTGTGACATCACAAAGTTCCAGAAGTCCTGACGGCTGGTTTTAAGGCTCAGTTTCTGAATACAGGCTGTGTGCATTTCTCTGTGGACTGAGGCTTTGATACTTTCACAGTATTAATATAGAAGCTAGACCTGATCTATAATCACACTACACATGGACACAGACCTTTAGAATATATAGGAACTTTAAGTCAGCAGCGACGTGTTCCATGCTGTTGGTTTTATGCCTCAGTTTATGATCCTGTTCTACATATCAGTGTCTACAGAGATGTCAACACACATATCTACACACCACACACACACACACAAACACAAGAGTGGTTCTGCTGGCTGTGATCGGAGGAGGCAGACATCTTCCTCTGAGGTTCACAGAGCAGATGAACAAACTGTGTTTCCTCTCTGTCGCTGCTGAAATATTCACATATCTGTGAGGGAAAGCTGCCGACATGAAGGAGGCTAAGACCAGTGCTGCGAAGAGCGGCTCTTTATCATGCATCTCTCCGGCATTACTGATGCAGACACTTGAGTGTTTCTATATTCAGGACTGATGATTACATTAGACTCACAGAATAAGTCCCGATTCTCATCAAGAGCAAATCAAAGTGAAACCACGAGACAAACCGAGACTCTTAAATAAAGAAATCAACCATGTTTATAAAGACGGTTTTAACAAATCCCATAATAACACAAAAAAACAACAATGTGTCCGTCTCTAAATACGGTCTGAATTTTTGATTCTGCAGCTCTCAGCACATCAGTTCCTATTTAGAAAATAAATCTTTAAAACATCTCACAAATAATTTAGTTTCATTTCAAACCTGGGCACTTAAATGCTAATCAAAAATGAGGAAATAGAGATTTACTGGATTAATACTTAACCCAGGTCAACAGTGTGTCTCAGTGATGTGTTTTAATAGTTTATTTATACTGATTATTATAACAGATTAACAGATTACACTGCTGATTGCTTTACTCCAGTAAGTCAACTACAATTCCCAAGATGCATTTCAGTCAGAAACAGTTTCATATTCTGTTACGTGCTAAGCTAACATCGAGCTGAAGCTAAAGATTAGAAACCTAATGAAACAGTTGAAATCGGTTCATTTTCAGATTGCGGCTCAGTTCTGGATGACCTCAGTAACCATGGCAACGTGTGTTGTTTTCCTCCTCTCACTTCACAGCTGTTTTACACTGGGATTTCTCCCCCAATGTGAGATTAAACACACAACTCATCGACATGTTGTTTATCACATAATTGGCCGCAGTATTAATCACGAACTTTATTGTGAAAATATCTGATTACAAAATATGTTTATTGTCCTAGAAATACCTCACTTAACGATTTCAAATTAATTTTCTTCCATGTGTTCATTCACACATCACAATGCCACAATGCAGCGATGTCATTACAGTCTGGCGCAAAAGACAGTGTCTTCACATCAGATATGGGGGAGTCTCATTAAACTGTAATGATCGTGCAGCGCGTCATTAGCCGGAGTAATAATGAATCCAGCTCTCTGATGGCCCGGCAACAATCAGGAGGCAAAAGAACAGGATGTGCCACCCCCCCTCCCTCCCCCACCCCAAAGCAACGGCAGAACCTGCAGAGCTCATCAGACTTCGAGCTGCAAATTACAGCCGTGACGTTAACGTTTGGCCGCGTTCATTAAAACAGCAGAAGAATAACAGTGAGATGGCACGTTTGGGATTTGAGATTAAATTTTCGGACCGAGGCGGGGGGCAGGGGTGGGGGTGGGGAAAGATCTGTTTCCGCGGAGGGAGATGAAAGGATGAAGAGATGATGGCAGGAAAAGTATGAACTCACCTCCTGATGTTGCCAGTGTCAAGTCATTAGTGTCATCCTCGTATGTGTACAAGGCCCTGAAAGAGAGAGAGACAGAGAGACAGAGAGAGAGAGTGTCAAAAAACAAGTTTCACCTTTAGCAACATTACAGTCTCAAATATTGTCTGTTTTAACATCTGCAGAGGTAAAGTCAAAGTTAAATTACTTTAAACTTGAGAAACAGAGTTACTTTTTCATTGGCTGCAGTTTATCTTTAAATACATTTCCCTGAACCCTCCCTCTGACTGAAAACAATATTTAATTCCTCACAGATCATCGCTTTCCTTAGAGCTGAACCGATCAGTCAAATATTCAATAATCAGAAAATACATGTAAATAATAATAATGAATTCATCATTTGAGCTATTGTGTTTAAGCACGTGCACAAAAACTGTGTATTCAGAAAGACTGAGTGACATCAGCATGTCAGAACTGTCACTGTGAGCATGTTAGCATGCTAACGTTAGCATTTAGCTTCCTGTTACAATACATGACAACATGACTTGAGTGCGTTCAGTGCATCGACACTCTCACACGTCAGCAGGATTTCAGACCGACCACCGATCAACCAGGCTGCTGCAGACCACGCAGCTCTCTATGTGATCACATATTGATTCAGTAACACCAGGTAACCAATCAATCAATTAACCAATCAGATTCTTTCTCATAAAGACATTCGAGAGAAGTGACGTAAGTCAGCAGAACCAGTGACTCCAGTCTGTCACCAGAAACAAGTGTTACAAATGTCTTTAGGAGGATTGACAGCGTGCGTGTGTGTGTGTGTGTGTGTGTGTGTGTGTGTGTGTGTGTGTGTGTGTGTGTGTGTGTGTGTTGTAAAGCAGATTACTTGGTTTGATTAATGACTGTGGGAACTTTGTGTCTGGATTAGAAAAGCACTGACACTTTTAATAATGACAAGTACACACATCCTGAACACACACACACACACACACACACACACACACACACACACACACACACACACACATATATATGAATGTGTGTGTGTATTTGTAGTATGGTAGTATCTCGCACAGACACACACCTGTGACCTCTCTGTCTGAGGTTACACGAAGGTGACAGAGATTACAGATTAGCCAACATCATCAGATTAAAATTGTTTGACCTACAGTGACCCTGCCATAAAGAAATCCATGAACCTTACTGTAGTAACACAACTCTATAAAAAAATACTCATGAAAAAATACTAATTAAAAGAGCAGAAATATTGGAAACAAATTCTAAAAGTATTGATGATGGAGCCAATGTCAATGATATAACATTATATTATTGGATTATTAATATTGATGCATTGACATATAAGCAGCATTTACTAATACATAGGTCAAGGGGAACCTGAACTGCAGCTGCTTAATGCACCGTTGATTTTATAAAGTCAGCAGATGTTTTGTTTGTACGAGCCACATCTGCACAACATCTGGTGATGGCAGCTTTCAGGAAGAAGAAGAAGAAGAAGAAGAAAATAATGTCTTTTGATCTAAAATACATCTGTATTTTTGTAATTGTATTTAAATACAAATTGTATTTATGTTCTTAAAAATAGGACGTGACGTCAGGTTAAAATGTGAACTTTGTGTCATCGACTCCGACTGACGCTCCATCGAATCAGGAGAATCTGTGGAAAGTGAAGCGGCTCGAGGAGGCGGCGGCGCTCAGAATGGATTTTCCTACGTATTAAAACGCATGCTGGGATTGAGGTTAGAGAAATTACCCTTTAATCTATCAGGGTTTAAACAGGAGATTATAAAACTGGAGAGCAGTGCACTGTAGATTATTGAAGATTATTATTATTATTATTATTATTATTAATAATAAAAACACTGCCACATAAAACTCTTGACCAAACTCTCCATCAGAACAAAAGTGCAAAGCTGCTGCTGATCATCACACGTACATGGACGTGTGTGTTGAGTACACGTCATGGGACAGATTCATGTGTACCACAGTCACAGCAGACTCAATGCCTGTTAGCCTGTTAGCCTATTAGCCTGTTAGCTTGTGGATATTACTCCTGCTTCCTGCTGCCTGTCGCCTTTGCAGAGACTCACTGCTGCAGTTCACACAACTCCCAGTGTCTGTTAGTGTCAGTAATTTTGATTCAAATCTTTTATTTATCATCTACGGGTCATTTCTTATTTTTGCTTCTGTTTGCTGAAATATAATTTTCTTCCATTACAGTAAAAGTGAGAAATCCCTGTTTGAACCTTTGTTTCTACACAGCTGCTTGAACCTATGTAGCTTTGTAGATGCCCATGTGCCTGTTTAAGTGTGTGTTTGTGTGTGTGTGCGTGTGTGTTGGGGATTACCAGCCGGACTCACACCAGATGACCTCATGCTGCTTGTTTCAGCCTGAAGCTTTCGTCTGGCCTGTGTCTGACTCTGTGCTGACCTCACCTCCCTCCTGTCCTGTTTCTGCACCGTCACTCGCTGCTTCCAGAAAACCTTTAGTTTTCTCTCTTTTACGCCGGGCTGCACATTTCTCTGCCCTCAACATCACTAAAACCTTTCCGTTCTCCAATCAGCTCTGTTTATCCACTGTCGGTCTGCCTGTTGTCACAGCAACAGCCGGGCGTTCTGCCTGCATTCACCATCAGTCATAATAGAGTCACCTGTACAGGTAAGACTGCAACACACTGACATTAGCAGCTCAGTCAGGCTCCGATTATTACCGCACTGCGTTAATTAAAATTAATCTAATATCAAACTTACACTGACTTTGTTTGGTTTCATTTGTTTACATCTGATGATGAAAGCTGTACATTCAAATCCACACAACACAATAACTGCCCTGATTCATATTTTCAGATTAACACTGGATCAAATGACATGACATGAAATATGAAAAAGGTTCCCGTCAGCTCCACGGAGCGTTTCACCTCCTTTCGGCTCATTGTTCTGCTTTTACTTTTCCTCTTTTGATTCACTCTCACCAGAAACTGTCTGTCTTACTGCAACGACACCACAGGACAGACGGAGACAGCTGGAGAGAAGCCGGTGAAGAGAGTGGAGCATTTAGCAGCTAAAGAGATGAAGAAGATGGTGGAGACCAAAAACAGAGCCGAAAGGAGACGGAATATTAGAGGTGACGCTTTTGCCGCTTCGTGATAATATGTCAGTGTTGTTTACAGCTTGTTCTGTAGAGTCAGTGAACGCAGCTTTGACTTTTCCTCTCACCAAACCAAACTCCACCAAAAAATACTTGATTTTGACTCAAAGAGTCATCAGCGCTATCTGTAAGCTATCGCTCCCGAGCGATGCGAAATGCATGCTGGGATACGTGTCAACCTCAAGCCAGCTCACACAGGACATTTTTGGATCATACTTGTCATCTAGGGTCGTCTGTGCAGCAGCTTATTATGACGCATAGTTACGTTGTGTTGCTAGGCGACACCTAGAGGTCGTAGTATTTATGACAGGAGCGAAGGGAAAAGTGTTGGCGACGTAGTTTAAAGAGAGATTTAGAAACGCTTCAATCCTAGAAATTACCGTCATATATAAATAAACATTTTTACTTTGGTTAAGGTTCGTGAAAAGATGGTTGTTCAGGTTAAATGTAAATAAATGGGTTGTGTTTGGATTAAACCACGAAGGTAAATAAATAAAAAGAACAATTACGTCTCCTACAGAACGTATTTGCTGTTTCAGTTTAGTTGTAAATGTATAAATATAATTTGTTGGTTGTCACTTCACATTACGATCATCCAACGTGACTTGCCGACAGTGACTAACTACAATTACTACTGTTCCAGTGACAGTGCTGGAATTGGCAGCATCACAACAAACCAATAGAAACGCAGATTCCTGGAGGCAGAGAGAGAGGAGGGGTGAGGAAGGGTGAGGAAGGGTGAGGAGGGGTGAGGAGGAGGGATTATAGATGAAAAGAGACAAAACAAAAGACAGGAAATAAAAAGATGACAGATAATAAAAACAACACGGTGTTAAGAGGACGGAAGAAAAGGATATGAGAAAGAAAAAAAGGAAGTGTTTAAGATTGAGAGAGTGATAGAAAAAGAGAGAGAGAGCATGACTGAGCCTCACTCTCTCACTCTAGGCTCTATAAATAATTCTCTTTAAAGCAGACAGCTGTTTATTATTCATATGAGGCCTTCATGACCTAGAAACAGCTGTGTGTGTGTGTGTGTGTGTGTGTGTGTGTGTGTGTGTGTGTGTGTGTGTACAGCTGAGCATATAAGAGGGAGGAAGATGAGAGGAGAAAAGAAAATATAAAAAGGAGAGAAAAGACAATACCAGGGAGGAAAAGAGAGAAAATTGAATAAGAGGATGAGGAGGTGACGATGATGATGATGTGTGTCGGACAAAGAGGATTGTAACGATTGAAAAAGAAAATGGGGGGAGAAAAGGAAGAAGAGATGGTAGAAATGGAAGAGGAAGCAAAGAATGAATGAGCAGATGAAAAGAGAAAGATGGAGGTAGAGAAGAGGAGGAGGTGGAGAAGAGGAGGAGGAAGAACAAAGAAGAGCAATAATGAAGGATTGGACTCAGTGAATCAACTAATCACAAGTGTGGAGGTCGGTCCGGATCATCATCGCTGCTCCGTCCAATCAGGACGCAGCTCTGGTCTCAAAACTGGTTCATGTTTTTTATTTTTCATTCATATTTAAATAAGAAAAAGTTTTTTATACTGTTAATCATGAAGAGCAGAGTGTCCTCTAACGTTATATAACAGGTAAAAAAAAAAAGATGATTTTGAATAAATTGAGCATCTTTATCCACAATTTTTACATCTATGACGTCAAATCTAAAACGATTCCTCACATTTTGTGTCAGATGTTTAGCATCAGTGTCAGTTTTATCTCTGGAAACTCAATGAGACCAAATGAGAAACTAAAACAGCCTTTTGTCCACAATGAATATGAGACAAGAACTCAACAAAAAGTAACAAGGATTATGACAAAATGTAAATTTTTCATGTCAATGTGAAAGACGGACAAATGGAAATAAGAACTTATTCAACCACCTGCATGAATCTGCAGAATCACACAGTGAATCAACAACA